CGCTGTACCGACCATTCTCCGCCGTAATTACTTTCATTAAGGCTACCGACTCACGGCTGTGCCGGCAACGATTGCGATCAGTGATGAAGCGAAAATCATTATTTCTGCAGGAGAAAGCGCGAAGTGCGATCGACTGTGATACATTCGTTCATCGATAACCGGTCACTGTTTTGCCTGTGACATATCATATTCTGGTGTGGACGTGTGCGTAAACCGGCCGCAGGTTTACGATTCGCGTCCGCCTCGTCAAAAGCGACGGTGTGTCAAACGTTAACGTCGGATCAACCGCCTTGGCATGCAAAATGTTTAATCTCCCATTACTGTCGCAGCAAATTTTCCTCGATATCTGCAAATTTGCAAATACGCGACTCTTTTTACGTGCAGTATTTACATTATGCATTTATGCAATTTTATACATTGCTTTTACGCGCGTGCATCCGCAGGTAAACCGTAATTTTAGAGCGGAGTCCTCGAGCCGATATTTATACGTTATTAAAATAAACGTCATAAAAATGTTTACACCGGGTAATAAATGCGAAACCAGAAGCCACTCAACGGATTCGTGTAATTTTTTCCATTAGCGCCGCTCTTTTTTAAAGCACGATAGAACGGAAACAATATAGTCCTTAATCCGCCGAAAGACCGCGTGACACAATGCCGTCATAAAAGCGTACATTTTGACACGGGCAGCGGCCGCGTAATCTTGGCTAAGCGCCAATACACTGCTATTAAAACAGCCATTAAAAAATCTGCATTATAATTCCTTGCGTGCAGGCGGGGATAAACAACATTGTCAAGCAAATTAATGTCGGGCACGATAGCAGAAGCGAATTAACTGCGCCTTTGTTACGCGCGGTCGCATGAAGCAACTTGGCTGCAAAATACCGTTAAAAAGATTCACGGTGAGCGAATTATCGCTGACACGCGCGGGCGATATTGTTCTCTTTGTTTTCCATCCCCTTGCAAAAATACCGAACTTGGTGTCCTCCGGCAATCCGCGGGGGTTTCACACCTAACGCAAACAACTTCCCGCCTCTCCGTGGGACAAATAAGCACTCGGTATCCTACCATCGCAGTTACAGAGGTCCGTAATGAAATGTAATTTAAATTGGCGCAGAAGGAAGGAAGGAAAGAGAGAGAGAGAGAGAGAGAGAGAGAGAGAGAGAGAGAGAGAGAGAGAGAGAGAGAGAGAGAGAGAGAGAGAGAGAGAGATGAAGGAATTCAGGGCGACACGAAAGTGTCGATGTCGATCGGCGAAACGTGACGGCGCTTTAACGAGGATTCAATTTTGTCACCGCTCGGCCGTGTCGTGCCCGGAAAGGAGTCGGGAACTTCCGGGGAAGTTTCTTCTCCACCCGGGGCTTTTATTACCGGACGTCCGGGGAAACTTTCTCTCTCGCGCGGTTCCGACGCCGAAACTTTCGCCCGCGGTGCATAACCGCCGTAATCCACCCCCGCGGTCTCGACGACGTTGCTCCCTTTCTCTCTCTCTCTCTCTCTCTCTTTGCCGAGGAACCCCTCGGAACTTGATGAAGCAGGTAGCGCGCAGCGTTCGCGGCGCGCTCGAATTTGATTCGCTTCGTCGAACCGTCGCCGTCGCAAGTTTCTCGCCTCCACCCCCGTTGACTCCGCTCGCAGTTAAGGGAAGACAGTCAGACGTCTGTCTTGGTACGTCGCTCCAATCCCGACGTTCTCCACCCCAGAAGAACCTAAATGCATTTTGACCCTAGGAGCGACTTGCCGGGAATGCAAATGTGTTCCCCGGCGATACCGCGAGTTCGTGTTGCGAGCGACGTGTTTCGCTCGGCCCGGGTGTAGCTTCGCCGAGAGCCGTCGAGGGCGCCGGGAGGAGATAAGGCGGAAAATAAGACGGGCGGGCGCCTTAAGTTCGCTATTTGCCTCCCAATTTGTCGCGCGTGCTCGTCCCCAATTATAAACTCCGGGAACAGTCTTAATTCCCTTCCGTTCTCTCGCCCTCGTCCCTCGTGCGCGAATCTTATCGGCAATCCCGGTTACGCAAACCGGGTGCGTCCGAGCGACGTAATCTTCGAAGGGAGCGGGTTTGCCCTCGCCGCGAGAATCGGCTCCCGGGTCCGAGCTATATAATTTAACACGCAAAGTTTATACGCATCGACATTCCCGATAACGACGTGCGCCGCCGGCTGGAGCTCACACTGCCCTCGGTAGCTACGCAGCCGCAAGATCGAGGCACTGCCTTTTCGGCTTGCTGTCGCGATTTCGATGATCAGAGTGGCGAGTCAATGGCCCGCCGTAAGCATGGACCTAAGAAACTATGGACAGAACCTGAAGTAGACGAACGGGCAAGGGGATTGTGCTCTCAGCGCGCCTCTTTCTACAAGAGATTACCTTCGGCAATCGGCTCGATCCGTGATGTAACCGAAGTTTACATCGCGGATAGACGGCGGAAATAACCTCTTGTAGAAAGCGACAGCACTACACAGCCCCTTACCGCAAATTCAACAGCCACCCTGGTTCAACGCTCTGTCCATAGTTTGTCAAGGCCTGTGTCCACGATGCTAGAACTTGGTCCAAGTTCTAGAAATGTGTAGCCAATCAACTTGCAGCTATTCCATAAAAGCTGCATGTTGAATGGCTACACATTTCTCGGAACTAGGACTTGGACCAAGTTCTAGCATCGTGCATACAGGCGTTTAGGTCCCTGGCCGTAAATTTCGCGGACGATTATCGCCGGATCCTACTCCTTTCTCTCCTCCCCCCCCCCCCGGGTGTGTACAGAGGAATAAAACGGGAAATGACGTCTGTGCATTTTACCCGGTTTTTTTTCTCCGCCCGTCATATCGAGCCGCCAAGTGACACCGCGCCCGCGATGCTCCTTCATTTAAATGATGGATGCACGGGCGCTATTACACCCTTTCGGGGACGCGGTTAATCGCCCGTCAACGTCTCGCGAACTTTCGCGATAATGAAGCGCGACCTCTCCATCCAGATCGACTTTCGCCCTTATCGCGGGATGAGCGCAGCTCGGACTGATAGATCTCGGCGCAGGCGATTCGAAATGACGAGCCGCCCGACAAGCTCGGGCTCATTAACAAATCTCTCTTTCTCTCTCTCTCTCTCTCTCTCTCCCTCTTCCCTTGACGTCTTTTCGCTTTGTCAAAATATATAAATGCCAAAAAGAGATTTTTTTCCTGACAGCATCTGCACTTTGAAATTAAAATCGCGTCTCTCCCGTGCATTGACGCACGCTTTACGTGCGAGCAGATTTTAATCATTGATAAAGTCTGCCGCTGAAACGACGGAATGAGCTCGTCGTCAAATTGCAGGATACTTTCGCATGTGTGTCACTGCCTCAGAGGTTCGTGCCTAACGGCATCTAACGCGAGTGGATTAAATATTAAGGTGGCTTTACTTTGAGCGATTCGTTTGCCGCTCAGCGACGCATTTATAAGTTAACGATAGCTGTCGGTCCTAGGAGTCTCGTAAAGAGAAAAAGTGGAAAACAAACGAGCTTTTTAAACGCCTCTCCAAAAAGCATCCTCGAGACGTAATGTCCTTTTACTTTTGTCACGATCTCAAGAAGAAGATTAGCACGTCCGTTTTTGGATCAATACATTCAAGTACTTTACCCGACATTTGTACCAGGTTGTGTGTTTACTCGGGACTGAAGAGATAAACACAGTTTATAAAAATCTCATAACGAGGATCAGTTCTATTCGAGATTATATAATTTGGATCATCGATACTGAAATCAATAGTTTGTAATGGCAAGTTCCTTGTGCTTTCGCGGAATTAGTTTTGGCTTCTAAATCTTTCAGTCTTACAAGAAGAGGAGCAATCCTGGTTGGAATTAATTGCTCGGATAATCCGGCATATCTATTCTTTTTGAGTTCTCTTCCATCTTTCTTAGGTAGGAAAGGGATAGGCGTCAAAAGAAATTTAAAAAACTTCCATCCTTTTTGGCAACAACAAAAGTAGTAAAATATTTGATAATTTCTTCTGTTGCCACGCCCCTTCGGCAGCGACAGATTAAATATTCTGTAGCTCCTTGGCGGCGGCAGATTTAATATTTTAAGATTGAAACTAGTTCGGCTTTTGAGGTAATTAATTGGTTTTGGGAATAGACTTTAAATTACTTTCATTCCCGATAACGGATCCGCAGCTGTTAGTTCAAGTTTACGGGAAAGTAACGAGAGGTCTAACGCGTCAATGACCGGTAAAGGCTGAAAGCTGAAACTCTCTATCTTGCGGCATTTCTTATGTTTATTTATACCCGAGTTAGAATACCACTCGCGAGTTTCTCACCACTTCGTATGTATTCTAATGGAGAAGGGAGGTTCTGTCTCAGGGTGTAATTCTATGCCCCCCGGCCTGATAACAATCGTCGCCTTCGGTGCCGTCGGAAATCGGATAGATAATCGATACGACTTAATTGTCGCCGCATTCTTTCAGCTCTGCTTCTCATTTGAGGATTCTGAATTTAAATTCTGTCGGTACGTGACACTTCCGGAGCTACGGGGCTGCGCAAAGTTTCATATCAAGATTGTCAAATGTTGGTGCAAGATAATGTATTGCGCGAGAGATGTTTGCTGAAAAAACAGAAATTTAGAAAAGCTAGCTTGAAAAATCACGTGCGCCCGGTAGAAACTGAAGAGCCCTTTCGCAAAGGGCAAATCCCTCATCCAGTCCCTCTAATACTCCCTGAAATGCGGGCCTCTCAAAAGACAAACTGATCAACTCCGCTTCTCCCAAGTTTCTTAATTTCAATACTGGAGTGTAATCAGTTTGCAACTTTGCCGGAATTTTTCCTATCTCTTACTTTATGAAGTTGATCAATCTGCTTCTCCGAGAGATTCCCTCGTACGCATAACGCTCAGTCGTGTCGAAGAACATTTACGGGAGTATTCCCTCTCTTAAACTGAAATCCTTTTAGGACACGTCTCGCGTGCAACGATCTAATTTCGGGCGTGCTTCATCGCTTTCGGTTCGAGGCACGCGAAGGGAAATTGCGCGATAAATAAACAAGCAATTCTTATCGACCCTTGAAAGTTCCCGGGAAACGAGCGGTAGGTGCATCTCAGGCCGGCGATTGCTTGCAGACGAGACAGAGCAGCGGCGCGGTGGGAAACGGCGCGGAGGGACGAGACGGCACCGGCCCCCTGGACCGCACCCCGCGGACGTCGATGACGATGGCCGTGACTACGTCGGCGCTACCGATGCAACCGATCTACGTTTCCGCGGGATCGTGCTCCGCCGCCGACGGCCCGAATCTGCAACGCCGGCGACTACGGCAGCAGGAACCGCAAGAATTATCTCTGACGCGGCCGGCGGACACGGCCGCGTCCTCGTCGTCCGTCCGCGACGAGCCCGTCAGAACCCCGCTCTCCGCGAACGTTCTCCTGTCCCTGCCGGCTTCGCCGAAACGGTCGTCGGCGAGCCACTCTTCGTCCAGCAAGACGCCCGCCATATCCAAGTCGCAGATGAAAGGTGAGTCCGTAGATCAGAAAAGCTTCTTTTCTTCCCAGTCCGACCGTATTGTTGGAATCAGATGGGAAGGCGAGGTAAAAATGCGGAAATTTACCTCTTTCTCTCTTCCTCTTTAACGCGATGAAGCGGATTCATGGCGCGCCATGTATCTGATCTGTACGCATCAGTATTTCACTTGTCGCGCGGCAAGTTTCTTCAGCCGATTGACCATCGAGGGAGCGAGTTTTTCGACTGCCCCAGAAATTCCCCGTCCGATAGCCAATCGGCATGAGCCGGAAAAACTTGCCGCGCGACACGTGACAAATATCAGGCTTACCCGTCACGATCGTCGTTTGTTCTGAGGGAGGCCAGGTAACATCTCCCGCGTAATTGAACGCGGTCCTGCAATGCGGAACCAACTCCCGAAATCTTACTTTCCCCGCTAGAGCCGAACTTTTGGCGAAGCGTTAGAAAACTCCGCGCGAACGTTATCTCAAATATGACGGCCGAACTGTAATCCTTTCCAAATACAATTCCACGTGTTACATGCGTTTGTCAGCATCCAATTAATCCACGAGGTCCGTCTGTCCTATCGAAATTACACAATACTAACGTTTAATATCGACAAACTATTCTATTTTAAGACAGAAAATACCCCAACATTTTCTCAAAAACTGCAGTTTCCAAATTCGAGAAGAAGCGATCTCTAAAATCGCCCTTCACGAAAATACGTCGACGGCAGGAAAGATACAAATGCAATAAACTCAATAATTGAATTTGATAGTCAAAAATAATAAGATTAAAATGACAATTTGGCGCGAGCAACGCGCGAGCGAAATTTTCTCTCGTATTTATCACCCCGCATTATATTGTATTATGATATCAGGCTGCGCGTGGCGAAATGCAAATTTGTACTCTTTTGATCGTGGCGTCAAATGCCGGATGATGCGGAGTCAACTCTCGAAATCTTACTTTCCTCGCTAGAGCCGAACTTTTGGCGAAGCGTTAGAAAACTCCGCGCGAACGTTATCTCAAATATGACGGCCGAACTGTAATCCTTTCCACATACAATTCCACGTGTTACATGCGTTTGTCAGCATCCAATTAATCCACGAGGTCCGTCTGTCCTATCGAAATTACACAATACTGAACGTTTAATATCGACAATCTATTCAATTTTAAGACAGAAAATTCCCCAACATTTTCTCAAAAACTGCAGTTTCCAAATTCGAGAAGAAGCGATCTCTAAAATCGCCCTTCACGCAAATACGTCGACGGCAGGAAAGATACAAATGCAATAGACTCAATAATTGAATTTAATAGTCAAAAATAATAAGATTAAAATAACAATTTGGCGCGAGGAACGCGCGAGCGAAATTTTCTCTCGTATTTATCACCCCGCATTATATTGTATTATGATATCAGGCTGCGCGTGGCGAAATGCAAAGTACTCTTTTGATCGTGGCGTCAAATGCCGGATGATGCGGAGTCAACTCTCGAAATCTTACTTTCCTCGCTAGAGCCGAACTTTTGGCGAAGCGTTAGAAAACTCCGCGCGAACGTTATCTCAAATATGACGGCCGAACTGTAATCCTTTCCAAATACAATTCCACGTGTTACATGCGTTTGTCAGCATCCAATTAATCCACGAGGTCCGTCTGTCCTATCGAAATTACACAATACTGAACGTTTAATATCGACAATCTATTCAATTTTAAGACAGAAAATTCCCCAACATTTTCTCAAAAACTGCAGTTTCCAAATTCGAGAAGAAGCGATCTCTAAAATCGCCCTTCACGCAAATACGTCGACGGCAGGAAAGATACAAATGCAATAGACTCAGCAATTGAATTTAATAGTCAAAAATAATAAGATTAAAATAACAATTTGGCGCGAGGAACGCGCGAGCGAAATTTTCTCTCGTATTTATTACCTCGTATTATATTGTATTATGATATCAGGCTTCGCGTGGCGAAATGCAAATTTGTACTCTTTTGATCGTGGCGTCAGATGCCGGATGATGGAGATACCCACGACGCCGGATTCAATTTGGCGCGCACGGTAAACGGGGTATCTCGCCTGTTTGGTGTCATCGCTTCGTTAATCCCGATAAAACTACGCCCGGCCGTGCCGGCGGCGCGCAGCAGCGCGGCGTGTGTGACTTCATTCAGTTTTGCGCGGCCATTATTTTTCCGCGCCGTTATCGCCGTCGTACACGACGAGTAAAACGCCCGAGAATCGGGAATCAGGCCAATTGATCGATCAGATTCGCACGCGAGATAAATAATTTCGCGATTTGCGTACACGGTGTCATGCAGATGTCGAACGTTTTTTTTTGCGCGCGCGCATGTTTTTTTTTCATTTTCGCACGTCGTCCATCATGCACGCGACTTGTTTTTCTTTCTGCCTTTATAAACATCGCTATTGAATATTACATTCCACTCATATCGTGGTGGATGAATAGCGATCTCGCCAATCGACGTCAAACAAATTGCATTGTAATGCCTGTAATATCGTTTCACATTTCGTGGTGCTCATCGCCTCCTTTTTTTCGCATTTAATTATTCTTACTAAGCCGTCCGTTAAATGTTCTATGGCAGGTCCTCGAAACCAATCTGGAAAACCGTTTAATCAAAGAATCAATGCGTTCAATTTCTTTTTTTTTTTTTAAGAGAATTCAACGCGGAAATGCGAATAGACGGACGATTTTCTCTTCCATTTCAAATATCTTCTTTCCATTTCGTGGCATGAGTTTTATACGAAATGACATTAATTCAAATGTATTTATCGACGAAACTGAATAACCTGGTAATTTTTATCGCAAGGTCATTACAGCCGCGAGCGCCGAGCAAATTTCTTTCTTTCAGAGCTGCAATGATGTTAATGAAGGAGCTCGTCAATATTTTTAATACAGCTTAAGACGGGCGCTTATCAGTTATACCTTAAATGTATTTTAGCTTTCACGAAACTCTTCCAACTATAGACAAACTGTTTCTACAACTTTGTCTTAAACAGCGTAACTTTATACACTGCGCGATCGATTATCCCTCAGTTTCATCAGGTCAAAGATATTTCACGAAGCTTCAACCTGCAGGGAGCCCGATCTCGCGATTAATAAGAATAAAATTTACGCAGATTAAATCTCATTCCGCGGTGTGTTTTTAAAGGTCCGCTTTTTTCCCCACTGATTTTTCTTCTTCTCTCCACTGATTTTCTCCTTCTAAGATCTGTTCGTTGTAAATGTCTAAGAGAGCCACGTGTCTTCATATACTTCGACGATATATACTTCGGCGAACGTAATTTCTTCCGGAGAATCGTTACGTCTTTATCGCCTTCGTATAGAAGGGCCTCTCTTAAAGCAGTTATCGTGTCACTACACCATTGTCCGCTTTACCAATTGGCGCTGTAAATGGAACCGTAGATAAATAGAGGATAGATAGGTAGATAAAAGGAGAAAGGTAGAGAGAGAGAGAGAGAGAGAGAGAGAGAGAATTCTATCAGTAAATGTTACATATAAAACGAATTAATTAATACAAGCATAAAAATTAATTGAAAATTCTTCTCTCGCATTTATCATTGCCTCAAATTATAATAAAGATTTCCCTATTCTGTACCACAATCGGTTAAAACAGAAAAGGTACGTGTATAACAAAATTATATGTTTGAATAAACGGACAACTGTTTTATAAGCATAATATGAATTTTTCCAATGAGTTTTACGCTGCTTTGCCCTGAAAAGGGGGTCTCTTAAAGTAAATTTTCGTTGAAGATCTTTTTTAAACATTTTCGTTTTACATTAGAGCAAAGATTCATTGCGGTAAACTCAATTTCGGTCACGTACGACTCTTTCTGTTCACACTGGTTCAATTAATTACGCAGTTTAAATTTCAATGTTTCTCAAACATGCTAATTAAAAGGATTTGATTCGGTACAATCTCTGGTATCGAAACATCGGTAGTAGAGTTAATTAGTTAAATCCTAATTCATTAGCAAAATCGACTGCAATGGTAAAACGATTCCGAGCTCGTATTTTTCTTTCGTTCTTGCTGAAATGTTTGTTTTGAAACGTAACACAATCCAACAGTTAAATCGCGAGACCGTATGATTCTCGCGAAATCATATTATAATCGCGATTCAGTATTTAAAAAACTCGTATCTATGAGACCTGTCCCGATCTTAGATTTCTCCTTCGCGCGGTTTAACACTAAAATTCTTAGAAGGAAACCACAATAGTCTTTATACAGTCAATTGGGAGAGTTTCAATGGCCCGATGTGAAATACCATCGGCGAGCTTTTTTCTATGGAGACTGAAATGGAAAGAAAGAAGGAGAGATGACGGGGGCGGTGCCTTCCCTGACGAGGCGGAAGTCCGTAGATAAAGAAGAAGGATCGTTCTCCACTTCCTGGTCTGAATCCCGGGCCTCGGTTGATTTCTGCGCGAAATGCTATCACCGAAATCGCCCTTCAAGATAACACGTAACTTCATTGCGCGCGACGCGCACCCGCGGCAAGGCTCCCCGTGTCCCCGCGGGTGTAAATAAGGGCGTAAGACGCGATCACGTCCATTACATCGGGACCCGTAGTTTCCGTTCGCGAGCGGACGATCGTGCATAGATACGTGCGCGTACAATACGCCGTCAGAATCAACGGCGCGGGAAACGAGGCCATTAAACGATCGAGTCAAGCACCGTCGAGCCGAACCCGCACACGGCTTGTACTCGTATCTCGTCAAATTCGCCCCGGGAATTCGACCACCAGCTACCCCTTAGTCAGTTAACCGGCTCCGTCGGTGACCGACTCTGAAAGGGCAATTCCGGAGAGGACGCTTGGCGCTTAGGTGGGCCGGGATACTCGGGTGAAGTGAAAAATTCAAGGCGCATAATGCCCAATCTAATTATCGCAGAAGTACGAGACTAGAGAAAAATTACTTAAAAATTGCGCCGTAAATGAGAGAACGCTTGGGGGAGCGTTTTACACGCGACCGTACGATTTTCCCGGGGAGCTCGGGAAATAAATTTCGGAGCAAAAGTCACTTATTTCCTAGTGAAGAAAGCAAAACGTATATAGGAGCTACTCTCACGCTGGATTTTTCCTTTCTGCTCCTCCCCAACAGAATTCAGGGAGGCCTTCAGGCTGTTTGACAAGGACGGCGACGGAACTATCACGAAAGAAGAACTCGGCAGGGTTATGCGTTCCTTGGGACAATTTGCGAGAGCGGAGGAGCTGAGGACGATGCTGCAGGAAATCGACATTGACGGTGAGCGGCAGCTCTATTATCCATCTTAGGCTACTTATTAAAGTTGGGAAATATTTTCGACGGCAATGTTTTTTCCCCGAGGGGTAAACCGCTGAGGGTATATTGTGGTGTACAGATTTGCGGCATTACTGGCCATTACTGGACACCTCTTTGGGCATTAGTTTGGGCACTAGCTGGGACATTACCGTATGCTAAGTATTGGCGCACATGATTTTGGTCAGCGGTTTACTCCTCGGTTTTTTCGCTGCGTGCGACGCCCGGGAAGATCACCTTGTGTTATCGGACGAATATATTATTTATTCCAAATTTTATTCGACCACAGCTGGCCACATTTGTTAATTTATCTGTCAATGCAGAAAATTTATCGCGAAAAATCGACGCGCAATTCAAAGTCGAAAAATAAACGCGTAGACAACATCTTTATACTGTTATTGCGACAAATATTATTATATGCCTCGGTGGTCGAATTGGTGAGGCGCCCGCCTAGAGTGTAGGGAGGTCCAGGTTCAAACCCTGGCTGAGGTAATATTTTTCGCAATCAATTTTCTGCATTGACAGATAAATTAACAAACGTGGCCAGCTGTGGTAGAATAAAATTTGAAATTTTAGTATTACACTGGCAATTTGATGAAACTGATCTTTGAATATATTATTATTGCTAATTACTGCCGGATTCGTCCGATCAAGGGGAAGAAATTAGACTGATACGCAAACCGTATTTATTATTCCGCGCAGCTCGATGGAAATCAAAATACTGCAATTTACTAATGCGCAATATAGTGTTTATTTTGAATTTAGCGTTTATCATCGGATTTATCCAATTAATGTAGAAAGGGCGAAATTAGACTAATATGTAACGTAATTGCATTTGACGTTTGAATTGTTCGATGAAGATTTAAGCGCTTGCATTTTATCGAAACGGATGGTATTGACCACCGGCATGCGCGGATATCGCGCGATATCGCGCCTTTTGTTTTTCCAATCCGCGCATTTCGAAAACCCCTCTTCACGTGCCACGTGTCGCTGAATAGATTGCGATTAATATAATATTCGATGAAAAAAAAAAGAAAGAAATATACCGACTGACCACTAGGTATTCATCGAAATAGGAAGCGCGGAAATAGATAGGAGGAAAAATTGACAATAATAATCCGCCAATATGCCGCTGTTTATTATTACATTATATGCGCTGCGATATATTATTACTGTAAACGTTACATGATAATGCGTAAATTTATGCAATACGGCGCATGACTTTATCTCGCGTTACCTCGAGTTTACTCGCGCAATGCGTGCAACGTAGCGTCTTTAAACGAAACAATCGCCACGCCGGCGTTAACCGGGCAACAACGTTTAAATCGCTATTTCCGCGGAGTTTCATCGTCGGGATTACGAAATAATCATAAAGTAAGAGGTGCGTTCGTACTCCCCCGAGCTATCGCCCGCGCGGGCGACAGAGCGAGCTTGCTGTTAAAGGTGGTAGGTACCACTCGACGACGACGCCCGAAAGTTTACCGTCCTCTCGCGTATTCACCGTTTCCACGGTCGTCCATGTACAATCTCGCGCCCGTCGGCAAATCGCCTTAATTGCAGCTAATTCTCGCGAAACGCTCCGACAATGGCCGTGTTCTTGGCCGGCAAGAGAGAGAGAGAGCGCGCGCGCGAAAGAGAGAGAGAGAGAGTCCCTTTATCAGGAGCCCTTTATTACGATCCTCCGGCGCTGGCCGATCTCTCCCTCGCTCTTACTTGATTCTCGAGGATTCGCCTTCACCTTCGCCCCGAACTCCATCTCTTTACGCCGCTGTATCCAATTTTGCGGCGGCCGCGCTAGGATCTACGTAACGTATCCCTACGTCCCGGCGCTCCTTCGGGCTTTCCCTTCCCGTGTTTACGCTCGGCGGCGATGTTTCATTGCCTGACGAAGAGGTCCGCGCGAAATCCACGCCGATGCCACCCGCAAACTCGTTATATGTGGCGCGCACCACATACTCCGATGGCGTATTTATGACCGGGACACCCTTATCCGGCGAAAATAAGCAGGGACCAGTGAAATGGGGGAAGGAGATACCTTTTAAATCACGTAGCTTCCTTAGCCGTCCATTGACCTTCCTGCCGAGGATTCTAAATTATTTCGTTCACGAAGCTCATCTCCCAAGGCATCGAACGACCAGGCTATAATTGTCAGTGATTTTCGTGCAGCGATTACGAGTATTTTAAAATACCGAAATTGTTTGAATTCCGATCACACACGACGATGCTGTATCGATACTTTCCCCTGTCGAGAAATTGCTATTGATGATTCGGGAGCGGAAGCGGGTCGGCGTATTGACGCCGGATGGTGCGAATCCTCGTACCTGTTGCTAGTCCGCTCCACAACGGCTGGCCATTACCAGTCATTTTCTCTGTAATCAGAAGAATTACGGGATAAAGCCCGCGGTGGAAAGAAAAAAAGACGACCGCTCGCAGCCGTCCGAGAGAGAACCCGGTGAAAGCCGAGTTTCGGGGAAATTTGGTGCTTTCTGGCTGATCTGCGCTCGCGACAAAAGAATTGGGGGAGGAAAAAGCGCGAGGCGATTATTAAAATCCGCGCGAGAGCACATCGCGGGGATGTAAATCGTGGGACCCTCGCGTGTTCCAATGGGCGAAGTAATTACGGTCGCGGGGAGTAAATTGTTTCGGCGACAGGCGTTTTATCCGCGAGGCGAAATTCACTCGCGCGAGCGGTGGAAGCGCGTCCGCGCTTTTTAGCGGAGCTCCGAAAGTGATAATTCCCGACACCCCGTGGATTAGATCGGCGCGGAAAGAGATTCCCCGAGTTAAACTCCTGGCCCGTTAATGCGCCGAGAGAGCGGTCCGCAAGAAAGGGAATTTAACGGTCCGACGCGAAGGAGAATTATTCCCGTGGTCGCGTACGAAAATCGCGGTAGTTAAAAAAGAAAGAAAAATAAAAAACGAGGAGCGCCGAATCGCGCCGGCCGACCGTCACGGCGGGCAAAAGAAGAAGCGACGCGAATCTCGATAATCGTCGAAGCGGTCTCGACCCGGGGATATTTCCGAGGGAAATTACTTTTCCGTTTGAACCGCTCGAATCCGTGCTCCACGTACCGTCACGAGAATAGATACGGTTTCGCCAACTGTCGTCGTCGATCGCGAGTCGTGTGAACCGCGCGTGAAATTATCCGCCCCTCCCTCCGGCCGCGTTGACTTAGCGTGACTTTTTCCGCAACGGGAAACGAGCGCGACGCACTCGCGCGGTGCCGTTGATAACGATTTTTCATTATTCTTCTCCAACACGGGCTTCGTCTCGCCGATGACATTTATTTCCCCGCCGGAAACATACCCCCGCGCAGCGCTCCTTTCCGTATCTGCGTTTCTTATGAAAATGAGTTCTCGACCTAGTAGCGCGATTTGGAAGTCGCCGTTGCTGGGACACGTTGCCGAGAGAAAAAAAAAGCGGGGATAGAGGAAGCCGAGCGGGAAAGTTGGCGAGCTCCTTGCTATACTATCAAATAGATTGCGCGCGGCCTTAAGAGTTTTCTCATTTCCTTTTGTTCCGAAAAATTCCGTTCTCGCAGATTACAAGGCGCTACACCGTCGATACAGCTCGTTACGTCGTCGTATCGTTACTATAAAAAAGAATATACTGTATGAAACATTATCGTAGCCTATCCCGAGTCGAAATTTTGGTCCTGTGTTGAACCTTTAATTCTATTATACATGTGTAGTAGGACCTAAAGACGGTAAAAAAGGTCAAACTGCAAGTACAAAATTTACTCCTACTTTCAAACTGATAGTGTCGGAAATTTCTACTTTTGCCAATTTAGCATTAAAGCAGGTCCTTTTAAGTAGGAGCTAAAGTAAATCTTCAGAATTAAAGATTCAAGGGAGGAGCAAAAAGATATGATGTCATCAACGTAGGTTATTGCTGGTCTATGTAGGTGTATAGATCAGCTAGGTATGTGCAAATTATCACCAATATTAATACCAATATTTCGACTCGGGATATCTTTAACAATTGCCACGGCTACTGTCCAAATCACGCGAGTGATATGCAAGATTTAGGACGCGTTTCGACAATAAATTTTCGACACTTTGGCGACACTAGATTAGTGACTCAACGTGCGATTTACTGTACAACAATTCCCGTGAAACACCGCTAAATTTCCTTCCTCGGCGGGATCCTCGGCAAAATAGAATTGCGAAACATTGTGCGTAACTCGCCCGAGAATGGCGACTTTAAAAAGTCCGTTGTACGTCACATTCACGCTAATAGCGAGTCATTATCGTTGCGCGGCCATCAAGGCTGATGTAACTATTATCGTTACTGCACGCGATTAGCGTGGTTAACGTCGGTTTTTCGCCGAGGGCTCATTGACGGGAATTTACGCGCTATTATAGCGGCCGAAAGAACATTTGGCGAGGACGTCCCGTTTAATTAATCGATCCGTCCAGTCTGCAAATGAGATTCGATTGCGAGCGGGACGCGAGCGGCCGTTGCTTAATCGCGTCGTAATCCGCTAAACTTTGCCGAAGAAAGAATTCTATTAAGCGGAGCAGACGCGACGGGCGGCGACGAGTACGTCCGTCGGAACAAAGTGACATTCAAATTTCGAGCGAGCGATTCGCGGGGGAGATTAATTCGCTTCCGGTGCGATCGGTCCGTCAACAGCTTTAATAACGCTTTAATTCACTCCCCACCTCAAGATCGCCGAGACTCGCAAAGTTTCGGCGGTTAAGGGCCTGAGCAGAATGGCTTTCTTGTACTCTTCAGACATAAGACAGTTATTGTGCGTTACCTCAAGACAAAGGCTTGAAACATAAGACATTGTCTTAAGGCTGTCTTAAGAGTATAAGACAGCCATTCTGCTCAGGTCCTAACGTAAAACGCATTCGTCGCATACGTAACCCTTCGTTCGTTCGCCGCTCCGTCTCCTCCTGACGACTCACATAATTCATCTGGTGAAATATGGGCAGAAGTTATCTAAACGGGTAATTAGAGG